ATTACACTATCTTTTGGCAATGTGGTTAATGTTTTATCTTTGAATTTCTTCGACATGACCACAGCGTCGCGTGGATCCTCACGTCTACAAAAATATATTGGCATTATTAACGAATATTAATATTTATTAAATAATTTTTTGAATTAATAATTTTTTAATTTAATTTATTTAAAATATAAAAACTACTTTTTTTTCAATTGATTTTATGCAAGTAGACAATTTTTGATAATACTATACATTTGAGTTAATAGCTTTGGCGTTAACTTGTTACTAATATATAATGATTTTAATAGCAAAACAATAAAGTTAATTAAAATTAAAGTTGATTAAAATTTAGAAGTTAATTAAAATTGATAAGACTGAATACAATATATTTCTTTCAAGAACGATAACATACGTCTCCGCATTTAAATTTAAAATGTGCTCTCCATGTTGGAGCATTGATATGCAAAATAGCAAGTCAGCTCTTGCTGACGAGAAGCAACTAGACGAATGTAATACACAGTCAATTTAAGAGAGAATAGCTCGAATTTTACGACATTCAATATTATATGTCAGATGGAGCTTACTTTAATATTGCACCTAGAGCCATTCCTGCCGGCAGTGTTGTTGGCAAGTCTTTCAATGAATGCACGACGAAATCAACGCTACCATTTTCTAAAGCAAGTTCCAACTCCTCGGTAAATAGGGACTTCTCCCCGATCTTTGGTAAAGATTTATCCAGAATTTTATCTCCTTTAGTATTCATTGTTACTGCAATTTGATTTCAATTTGATAAAATAAAGTTTCTAATTTTATAAAAGTACATATAATTCGTAAAGTATATATAATTCGATATATACAAGTTATTTTGTTGACAATATATACGATAATGAATGTTTCATTATATACCAGTCATTCAATATATAACAAGAAAAAGCTGTACTTATCAGTACTTCAAATATATTATATAGTGATATATCAAAGAAGGGGAGAAGTTGCGAGATTATCATGTGTGATACTGAGAAATTATGAAATCTGATACTGAACTTTTAAATTTCTTTACAACAAATTTATTGAAGTTACACAGAGAATAACTAACATAACAATGAATAGTGCATGCACAGTTGTATAATTTGCTTACCTATTTCAAATTCTTTTTTTGGGTGAATTTCTTTCAAACATTGTATTACGTATTTAGTCTGTATCAAGGCCAACTAAAAGGTTTTCAAAAATACATTATTCATATTCATATTCAAAATAAAAAAACATGCTTCTTTGTATTATAATTTCATGTAATAAAATATAATTTAAAAAATATATAATTATATGTAAAATTGTATGGCAGAGTTGTTTATTTTCTAAATTGATATTTTAATTACACATTTAAAAAATCATTTTGCAATTATAATCTTTTATATAAGTTTAAATATTGTATTATCATTCATTGATGATAAACTAAAAAAAAATTTTAAAACAGCTGAGTAATCTTATGCCAAGTACAATAACAATTCAGATGCACAGCAGTGATTACATAAAATTAATAATTGTCATCGATAAGAGATGACTTGAATCAGTCTTCTTAGTCAAAAGAGAAACGGAAATCATTCTTTATATAATAATTTACATAATGCGATTTTCTCAATGTTTTTTTTCCTTGTAAAACCGAAAAATCGGATTAAAAAAAACGAAAGCGTGCACTCACCTCGCTTTTCCGAGATCCAACTTGGATTACATCACATTTCTTATCGTCGTTCATTATTACGTTTTGTATACCAGGTATAGTCGAACGTTAAACTTTGGAATGTAGATGTTAATAGATACAAGACATCAAGTATGAGAAAAATGATGGAAGAAGGAATGTGGAGATCTGAAAGATACTCTAATTGGGTCGAAAAACGTGAAACTTTCACTACAAATTAGGAACTGCGCTTGATCTTACGACTTCTTGCGTTTCTGCGAGCGAGATGTGCGAAGAAAAAAGACAAAATTATTCGGGGTTAATGTGCGTAGGCTGAATTCTTTCACAGTCACTGGCACTGCAGCAGAATGTGAAATTGATTAAGGAAGTTTTGGAAGAACGATAAAACTTAAACTACCGCCATAGCGAACGCAACGCGACTGCTGCGATTGATGAAACGGAGTAGAATATAAAATTAGAAATAATCACGCGAGTGACACCACGTGTTGCCAAGATGTCGCTTGACATTCGTCGATAAACAAATCTGAGAAGAAATCTGATTTATCAATAGAAAATAATAATAGTATAAAAGTATAATAGTATATAAAATAATATAAAATAATAATGTAGTCGCGAATCTCGGAAATTAATTTATAATATCAGGAGAATATAATCTGTAAGAAATTATATTTTCTAAAATTTTGTTATTTCTGAGGAATTAGCCTAGTCACTAACGAGATCTATTTAAAATCATCAACTGAGCTTCTCATGATCTGCATCATCGACGAGATATTAAGTCTGTTCTTTTTGGTTGAACTTTTGCAGTTTATCTTTCTTCTTCTTTCTTCCTAAAGAGACAAAGAAGAAAGATGAACTAGTGCAAAAATTTAACTAAAATAGGTTATAGGTTTGTTTTTATATTTACACTGTGTATATCAGTTCAGAAAGTGCAGCAATAAAAAACAGACTTTATGTTCACATTGCTTACACCTTTAGGTCTATTCACAAAGAATGCAAACAGCAGACCTATTATTACCTCGTCGATGGATGAAGTAGAATCATGCAGAATGAATTTTGAGTTGAAAGTTTAAATTAACAATTGATATACGTTAATTGTGACATCGTTTCCATGTTTCCAACGTTTTCACCATGAGCATTTCCAACATGAGCGAAGAAGTTAAACATTTTTCAGATTTGAAATTAAATTCTTGGCTCCTTGCGCAATGCGAGTCTATGGGTAAGGAATTTTCCATAAAAATCATTAAAAACCTAAAATAATGCTCGATGATATATAAAATTTCCAATATTTGATGATATTCAATATTAAATTTTTGCAAAATTGCTTTTTGAAATTGTACAGCTATTATTTTTAGGCTTAAAAAAGCCAACTCCCATTCAGCAAAATTGCATTCCTCGAATATTGGTGGGTGAAGATTGCATAGGTTGTGCCAAAACTGGTAGTGGCAAAACTTTGGCATTTGTCCTGCCTATTTTGCAAAAATTGTGCGAAGATCCATATGGCATATTTGCTCTTGTGTTAACACCAACGAGGGAACTAGCTTTTCAGGTGAAAAATTTTACTTTATTGTGTCATTGTAATATATATTGTTATATATTTATAGGATATTTTGGATTATCCTATAATAAATAATAATTTTAAATGTTTCGAAATAGAGAATAATTTCACTAAATGCAAATGTTTGCATTTAATTATAATAAATCTTATTATTGGAATTATTTTAGATTGCTGATCAATTCGCCGCAATTGGCAAGGCTATCAATCTGAAAAAATGTATAATTGTTGGTGGTATGGACATGATGGTACAAGGATTAGAATTGTCAAAACGGCCACATATAGTAATAGCTACACCAGGTCGATTGGCAGATCATTTGGACAGCTGTGATACATTCTCCTTGCAGAAGATCAAATTTTTAGTATTGGACGAAGCCGATAGATTGCTCGGTGGCCATTTCGATGGACAATTGAAAACAATATTTGCCGCATTGCCCAAACAGAAACAAGTATTATTTTTCAGTGCTACTATGACAGATGCTCTGGATAAAGTAAAGCAAATAGCTTCTGCTGAGGTATATTTCTACTAACACTGCAACTGTATGAAAGGGTGAAACCATAGTGATGTAAGTCATTTAAAAAAATTTTTTATAATTTTTAATTTTTGGTCTTGTGTGTGAAGAGTTTTTTATTTTGTATTCTCATTTTCAAAGTCATAATTAAAAGACTTACAACATTATAGGTTTTTCCTCCTTTATGTATTATATTACATTCAATTTACCAGAATGGAACTTTTTATCCAGGTTTTTACATGGCAAGAGGAAGATGACTCTGGTATTGCCACTGTGAAGGAATTGGATCAACGTTACGTATTGTGTCCTAAGGATGTGCTCGATTCATATCTGGTAGAAATAATTAGGACGTTTCGTACTACGAACGAGGATGGTTCCATCATGATATTTACGGACACTTGCAAGTAAATAATTATTTTCGACACATAAAATTAATTATATATTTAGACTTAAGTAATTATTAATATCATTATTTTGTTATATTTAGACACTGTCAGTTATTATCTATGACGTTGAATGATGTCGGATTTACAAACGTGGCTCTTCACGCAATGATAAAGCAAAAGGAACGTTTAGCAGCACTAAATAAATTCAAGTCAAATCACGTACAGATATTAATTGCTACTGATGTCGCGGCGAGAGGTCTGGATATCTCCACAGTACAATTAATCATTAATCATGTAATACCGAATGTACCAAAAGAATACATTCATAGAGTCGGTAGAACAGCTCGCGCAGGTAAAAACGGTATGTCGATAAGCTTGATAACTCCAAACGACATAAAGTTGTTGCACGCAATTGAAAATGTCATAGGCATTAAGTTAATGGAGTATAAGGTAGACGGTGAGTACATATTCTGTTTTGCGCTTTATATATTTTTTAAATAATTAAAAATGCATCTGATTATCTTTTAATTGATGGTAGACAAAGAAATCGTTACAATCTTGACGCAAATATCAGTGGCAAAACGGGAAGCAGAAATCAAATTGGACGAAATTAACTTTTATGAAAAGAAAATAATCAATAAGCAAAAGAAGTTAATCTTAGAAGAATTAGATGAAGGCCAACTGCCGGATGAGGTAGATATCGCCAAAGAGGAGAGAAAAAAATGTAAGAAGAAAAAGAAAAGAAAATTGTTGATGGAATCTCTTCAAAAAAATAAAACAGCTAATATATATATATAAACAATAAACTATACGATTGTGTAACAAACAATTAAGCCATATATAATTTGTGATACAATGACAAATAGTACTACTGTTATCTTTTCATTGTATTGCACTCAAGATTACAATTTGTATTTAAATAATAAAAATGGACGTTTATATCTCTATATAGATAATTATTTCAGAGATCAATTGTATAAAAATATGACTAAGATTTTTTATCGATATGATGTTTTTAAAAACATATTTTTCATCAAACTTGGTGTTGATTGCTCGCAAAATTTTATATAAATACTTTGTAAATTTAAATATATACAAAATCGTCTATTGTCTATTATGCGTCTAGATATATTATGCATATGGCAAGTGTTAAGTGTACGAAATAGAATGTAATCGAAAAGGCAACTTCATATAAAAAATACAATTACATGAATGAATAGTGCACTTTTAAGATACTTAGAGACGCGCTCTAATCTTTTCTTCGTTTTGTATTAAGTTTAATTTTTGTAAAAATGCGTAGAGTTCAGCAACGTATTCTTTAGGGTACGTATAGAAGTGGGAAACGTGCGGCGATTCTTCGAATATCTTCATGTACGTCTGTAATACAAATATAGTATATATTTTTACATGATTCTGTCATGAGCTAGCAAACGCGAATCGTACCTTTATTCCTAAAGAATCCCACGTATCGCGCAAAGATAAATTGCTGGTTACAGCTCCAACGGGATCAGTTTTGCTTACAAACAATAATGCTGGTACGCGTAGTACGTTAGCAGCATGAAATACCTGACTGGATCGAATGTAATACTGTGTCGCTTGCTGGTGAAATGTCTTCATGTGATATCTGAAAATAAGAAAGAAAATAAATTGATATTACTCAAAGATAATTATTTTATCAATCCTATCCTGTGTTACTTACTCTACGTATTTTCGTAACATAGACTGCAACATCATATTTTTCGGGAATACTGCACGAGGGAAACCAATTGCAATTTGACTAATATCAGCTATGCTGTCCCACACCTGTCCAACAATTCTGTCAGTAACAGTATTGTACTTGTCCTTGTTGTTTTGTATTAAATCCAAAGCTTCACCCCACATGTAACCGCCCACTGAAAACCCATGTAACAGAATTTGTTGGTAACTTTCGTTTTGCTTTAAGAAAGTTAACAAATCGGCTGCCACTAGCTGTAAATAAATTGAAAATTGTAATTGAAAATAGTAATGAAAATGTATATGGACTATCATTCGATAAAAAATGTTTCATGAATATGTATAAATATGTATAAACATACATAAATAGGCATAAATATTCATAAACATGTATAATTATATATGAAATATGTTCATACATCCTTTTTTCTTTTGAAAAATTATTTTTTGGTGTAATAGAAATAATAATAGTGAAAACATAAAAAATAATTAAAGGTATAATTTTGTTTGTTTTAAAAAAAAACAAGTTTGAAAAAAAAATTGCTCACACATAATTATGCACAATTTTATATGTATAATTATACATAAATAACTTTTTTACATTTCTTCAAACTTGATTTTTTCTAAAATAAATGGTGCGAAAATTATTTTTTAAATTATTTTTAATGTTTATGTTACTATTATTATTTCTATCACACTAAAAGGTAATTTTACAACAGAAAAAAAAATGTATAAACATGTACGAACACATTTCACATATAATTATACATGTTTATGAATATTTAGGCATGTTTATGCATGTTTATACATATTCATAACAAATTTTTTACTAAGGCACTTAAAACGCTGTAATTGCGTAATTTCTTTATCATGTATAAAATCTATCATATAATGCTGACGTTGTCAAAAGTTACAGAATAGAGGCTTACAAAAGGTTTACAGAATAGAAAATAGATTCAATGTGTACTTTAAAATGTACACTTACCCTAGAACCCTTCGCAGGCCACAAAAGTTGCCAAGGCGTAAGGGATACCACCACTACGTCAAAACCTTGTTCCATATACAAATTAACAAACTTCATAACATGTCGTCGCTCTGATAATAGCCAAGTGAGAATCACTAACAAAGGGCGATTATTTGTTACATTTAGAGTCTGAGCAATGTTTTTAGATGAGATAATACGATTATTTTGTGTAAGAAATTCAATATTCTTTGAGACATGATGCGAGGATATTGTTCGTGTCAATTGTCCAAGACTCTAAAAAAAAACAGGTAAATGTGATAACAAAAAAGGTACATGATTAAATCATCATTGCAAATAAGAGAATACATTACCAAGTATGGATTTCGTTTTAATAACTGTAACTGCATGCACAAGCCAATCTGTCTTCCTGAAAAGGTATTGCATAAAGCTCTAACTATCATTGTGATAAAGGATCTTCTGTCTTTTTCATATACCTATAATAACAGAATATAAGAAATTAAATATATTAATTACTTCTGTAATAGAATTCTTTATTTAAAAATCAGATTCGTGAAACTTCGAGATTTGAGTTTACAAACAATATTATAATTATTAATTGTTATTTTGCTATTAATATTTACCAATTGATTCTCTTTATAAATTCCACCCAAAGAATATCACTGTATGTGTTTAATAATTTAGTGATTCTGCTGACTGTATATAATGAATGATCCCTTAGGATTGGCTTGTCAATTATATCTCATATA